TAGCCATTGTATTCCTCACCATCATGCACTCACATTTTTTTTAAAAAAGGCAGTTTCATTTAAGAATATCTTTGATGTATTAGAAAAATTATTAATTTTATTAAATTTCAATCCTTGAGTACGCATAAGTTTTATTATTCTGTGTGACAAAATTGGAAGTACACAAAAATCACTTTTGCTGCATACCAAAGTAGGAAGATGATTGTCTTGAGGAAACGTACTTGTGCAGTTGCTTGAATTCTGAGCTGAATTAGCCTTTATTGTTTTCCACAGAACACCATTTTTTTTTTACATCTTTATTGGAGTATAATTGCTTTACAATGGTGTGTTACTTTCTGCTTTATAACAAAGTGAATCAGTTATACATATACACATGTTCCCATACCTCTTCCCTCTTACGTCTCCCTCCCTCCCACCCTCCCTACCCCACCCCTCCAGGCGGTCACAAAGCACCGAGCTGATCTCCCTGTGCTATGCGGCTGCTTCCCACTAGCTATCTACCTTACGTTTGGTAGTGTATATATGTCCATGCCTCTCTCTCTCTTTGTCACAGCTTACCGTTCCCCCTCCCCATATCCTCAAGTCCATTCTCTAGTAGGTCTGTGTCTTTATTCCTGTCTTACCCCTAGGTTCTTCATGACATTTTTTTTCCCTTAAATTCCATATATATGTGTTAGCATACGGTATTTGTCTTCCTCTTTGTGACTTACTTCACTCTGTATGACATACTCTAGGTCTATCCACCTCATTACAAATAGCTCAATTTCATTTCTTTTTATGGCTGAGTAATATTCCATTGTACATATGTGCCACATCTTCTTTATCCATTCATCCGATGATGGACACTTATGTTGTTTCCATCTCCGGGCTATTGTAAATAGAGCTGCAATGAACATTTTGGTACATGACTCTTTTTTTTTTTTTTTTTTGCGGCACACCGGCCTCTCACTGTTGTGGCCTCTCCCGTTGCGGAGCACAGGCTCCGGACGCGCAGGCTCAGTGGCCATGGCTTACGGGCCTAGCCGCTCTGCAGCATGTGGGATCTTCCCAGACTGGGGCACGAACCCGTGTCCCCTGCATCGGCAGGCGGACTCTCAACCACTGCGCCACCAGGGAAGCCCCATGACTCTTTTTGAATTATGGTTTTCTCAGGGTATATGCCCAGTAGTGGGATTGCTGGGTCATATGGTAGTTCTATTTGTAGTTTTTTAAGGAACCTCCACACTGTTCTCCACAGTGGCTGTATCAATTTACATTCCCACCAACAGTGCAAGAGGGTCACAGAACCCCATTTTCACTTAAATAACTGACTGACGAACTGGTTATTCAGCCTTGAGTATTCAGCAGATATGTTCTTGAAAATTAATAAAGTGAGTCTGTCATTAGAAGAAAAATAATCTAGCTGCCTTCTATTAAAGCAATGCCAATGATTAAATTTGAGCTTTCAAGCAAAAATTAGACTTCTGAAAAACTTGTATCATCCACTGTGAGCTTGGTAGCTTTCCAATTTTTAAAGATTTTCCCGATGATATCAGGTATTAACAAATGTGATTTTTAAAAAATATTGTTTAATGAAATGTGTCAGTATTTAGAAGATCAGCATAATTCAGTGAATCAGTATTTTCCAAAAAACCATGCATGGGTGAAAGATCCATTCAAAGTTCAAGATGGGCTAATCGATTTTCATGTAATAGAGTATGAAGAGGTCATTAATAAGGTTCAGATTCCACATTACAACTAACTTTTAAGAATCTGCCATTTGTTGAATTTTGGTGCAGTATCACAGAAGAATCTTTCTTTTCCAACTATCTGTGTGAAGGTTGATATGTACGTAGGAAGCAGATACGAGAATCTGGCTGCCTTCTATTAAGCCAGACATTAAAGAGATTTGCAAAAGTGTAAACCAATGCCACTCTTAGTGTTAAATATTTTTGTCAGATCGTTATTTTTCATAAAATGTTATGTTAACATGTAATGGATTTATTATTGTTGTTTTCAAAGTTTTAAAATTTAGAAGTCAATTTCTAATATGTAATTATTAATGGATATAACCCACATAATCAAAAGCTCTTTGAGGGACTTCCCTGGTGGCGCAGTGGTTAAGAATCCTCCTGCCAGTGCTGGGGACACGGGTTTGAGCCCTGGCCCGGGAAGATCCCACATGCCACAGAGCAACTAAGTCCCTGCGCCACAACTACTGAGCCTGCATGCCACAACTACCGAAGCCCATGCGCCTAGAGCCCATGCTCCGCCATAAGACAAGCCACCGCAATGAGAAGCCTGCACATCGCAACGAAGAGTAGCCCCTGCTCGCCACATCTAGAGAAAGCCCTTGTGCAGCAACGAAGACCCAACGCAGCCAAAAATAAATAAATTAGTTAATTAATTTTTAAAAAATGCTTAAAAAAAGCTCTGAGGTACTCAGTAAGAGTCCTGAGACCAAAATGGTTAGGAACTGCTAGTTTAAGGCATTAACTCTTGACTGTAATAAGAATCATTGTAATCTGAAGTAACTTTTTTATAAAGTGCTTCACAGAGGAGTTGAGAAGTGAGTATTTCCCCCCCACTCCACGCGGCTTGCAAGATCTTAGTTCCGTGCCCTCAGCAGTGAAAACACGGAGTCTTAACCACTGGACTGCCAGGGAATTCCCAAACGGATTGTTTATTGTACCAAAAAGCAAGGAAATTAAAAGGACACAGAAGTCAGCTTGAAGGAGCTAATGATGTTGACTTTGATTACTTGGTGAAAGTGGTGTCTGCCAGACTTTTCCGTTGTGAAGGTACTTTTTCTCTTTGTAGTTAGTATTTTTGTAGGAAAGTACTTTGAAACCACATAAACACTCCATTCCTTATCAAACTTTTGGTCCAGTTATTAAAATGGATTTAGAATATCCTATTTTGTTTAATGGTTTAAAGTTTGTTACTATCATTATTTTGATGCTAACATTGTCTCAGATTTGGCCAGTGAGAGCTTCTTCAAACTGGCTTCTGTGTCCTGTTAACTTCCTTGCTTTTTGGTACAACAGGCAGCAGTTTAACCTAATCTACAAGTAACCATTTTAGCACTCTTTTCTTTTAGGTAGTATTCTAGAGTGCTTTGTTCTTGAATATTGATGATCTGTTTATAACATATTTCCTTAGTTTTTGACTAAAACAAGCACTGACTGGACTTTTAAAAGTCATTTAATGTCAAAAGAGCACTTACTTTTGAAAAAATTTTAATCTCCATATTTGCTTCATCTGTTTTCTATTGTGCTTTAACTCTAGTAATTAAAGTGAACCTAAAGTCATAGCAGTAGCTTTTAAAATATATATATATATATATATTTATTTATTTATTTATTTATTTATTTATTTTGGCTCCACCGGCTCTTAGTTGCGGCACATGGGATCTTTAGTTGCAGCATACAAACTTCTTAGTTGTGGCATGCGGACTTCATAGTTGCAGCATGTGGACTCTTAGTTGTAGCGTGCATGTGAGATCTAGTTCCCTGACCAGGGATCAAACCTGGGCCCTCTGCATTGGGAGTGCGGAGTTTTACCCACTGGACCACCAGGGAAGTCCCCAAAGTAGCTTGTTTCACATAGGTACCCCTTTCTCTCTGCTAAACTGATGGAACTTTTAGAACATTAGGTTACTATATTCATTTCTTCATACCTTGTGTTTCTATTGATTATTAATTAGGTTGCCATAAAAATACAATCTAACAATATAAAAGAAGAAAACTTTAATACTCTTGCAAATATGTTCAGATGTTATTGTATGTAAGACGTTTTAATTCTATTATTTGAACAGCACCTTAAACTTGAATTGCCTCTTTTGTTAAGAAGAAATTGTCGGGCTTCCCTGGTGGCGCAGTGGCTGAGAGTCTGCCTGCCAATGCAGGGGACACGGGTTCGAGCCCTGGTCTGGGAGGATCCCACATGCCGTGGAGCAACTAAGCCCGTGAGCCACAACTACTGAGCCTGCGCATCTAGAGCCTGTGCTCCATAACAAGAGAAGCCACGACAATGAGAAGCCCACACACCGCGATGAAGAGTAGCCCCCGCTCACCGCAACTGGAGAAAGCCTGGGTACAGAAACGAAGACCCAACACTGCCAAAAATAAATAAATAAATGAATACATAAATTTATTTTTTTAAAAAAAGAAATTGTCTGTTTTTCCAAATATTTAGAAAAGTATTTCCAAAGTATTTTTCCTGTGCATTCCATTAATTATTGGGTTGGCTAAAAAGTTCGTTTGGGTTTTTCTTCTCTGTTGTTTTTTTAAAAAATATTTATTTAGGCTGCTCCAGGTCTTAGTTGCATCATGTTAGCTCTTAGTTGTGACATGCATGTGGGATCTACTTCCCTGACCAGGGATTGAACCCAGGCCCCCTGCATTGGGAGTATGGAGTCTTAGCCACTGGACCACCAGGGAAGTCCCTCCTCATCCTTATAGATAGGGAAGCTCAGCCATAGAAAGGTGAGGTAATTTTCCCAAGGTCACACAAGTATCAAACAGACTTGAGAGCAGAGATCCTAACTCCAGAGCCCCACCCTCAACTACTACACTATATTACCCTCAGCCAAGATGATTAAAACAGTCACTTCTCTTAAGTAATTAATGGGAAAGGGAGAAAAGAGATGGGTAAACACTTTATGCTATAAATATGATAAATGCCTTAGTAGAAAGATGCGTGAGAGACCTTGGGGACCCAGAGGAGAGACACTTTAACTCTGAGGAGGTGTATATGTGCGAGTCCTCCTCTGTCTTTTCTATTATGGCTTTAAAAGCATGTTTAGGTTCTTGTAACCCTCCTGCGTTGCTGTGGCTGTGTTTTGATCTTTGATTCTTCTTGGTGCAGCTAAAAGCAATTCAAAATACCACTACGTTCTTTAAAACACTTGTAATGTCTACATAATATACAAACATCATGATTCATTTGATGTATCTTTTTTAGGTGAATTTCTGGAAAAATAAAATGTTCAAATTAGCTTCAATTTAATGTTTTCACAGGTGCTGGAGAAAATTTGGAGAATACGATGGCAGCCTTTCAGCAGTAAGTATATAAAAAGGTATTCTTTTCTTTTACAGTTTATCTTTAAAGTGATGATGATTCACCAAGTGAGGATAGTACACGTGTAGCATCCACTTGTGGTAGTTGTTTCTATTTTATTAAAATGGCTTTTTTTTTTTTTTTTTTTTTTTAGTTAGTCTGAAGTGTTACAAAGAGTGTTTGGCTTCTGCATAACTGAAAAACTAGATCAGAGTTTTGGGTAATCAAAAGATACTATAGTTCCAAAGCTGAAAGAAGACATTTGTAACAAGGCACATACTGTGTGTAATGCTAATTAGCCTCAGAGAGAAAGAGAAAAGGAGAAAATGAAAACACTGTTACATTGGCTGTTATTTATGAGTAGGATTATGTGTCTACTCAGTAATTCTTCCACAGGTCAGGTCAAGCTGTCATCTGGTCTTTCTTCTTTGAAGCCTTAGGAGTGTTGATCTTATTTTTTTAAATCAGGTAAATTTTTTTTTCTATTTTTAGATTATTCATATTTCATATAGATGTCTTTTAGAGCACCTCACAGAAGCAGCCGGAGACACAGGAATGAAAGCTGATTGATACCTTGTTCTTTGTCTTAGAGTGAATGATTATCATCAGTCTGTGTGGTAATGGTGCGAACAGTTTTCTGTTCCCTGAAAAATAAGACGGGGAATGTGATAAGTTAACTCCCATGAAAAACATTACTATCCATATTTAGTAAGAAAAATATTTTCTTATGTAATTTTTGAGCCATTTTTATGTGTATAATTGGGGCCAATAAATCAGGATAATTTGGCTTAAGTTTTTGTTCTGCTTCTCATCATTCAAAGACACTTTAGAGATTACTTTTCCTGTTACCAGGTCCCAAGGTACTGCTTTTCCATAGTCTAGTTTCGTCTAAATCCTATCCTCCTGTATTTGTCATTGCTTACTCTTTTTGTTCTATAATGTGATGCTTTTGACTGTAATCTCAAGTCTCTTACGGCTCTAAAATGCAAAATCTTTCCTCCTGTCACTGACTGTGAAACAGAATAATTTAAATTACTTTGTTATCTTCTCTACGGAGATTATGTAGCTAGCTCCTATAGCAAAATATATTTAATTTCATGTGAACAATTGTCACTGTGATATACACACACATATGCATACCCACGCACACCCTCATTCACTATCATTTATCCAATATTTGTTGCCTGTGATGTAGTAATGTATATTACTTGGGGAAAAACTGCTCATAACTTTGAGTGGTTTTTAGCATTCCTTTATGTAAAAGTATATTATTTTGTAAGTTTTTCTCCATATTTTTTTTTGCTAAATCTTTACGAAACACCCTTATTTATGAAATTAAACTATTTCTAAGGATGGTACATTTGTATAATACATTATTTCTAAGGATGGTACCTAAATGTTTTTTATCTTTGAAGACTTTGATCCTCTGAAAAATTTTTTGATATTCAAAGAATAATTTAGATGGTTTTTACTTGCTAGATACGAAATTTCATTTCCAGTCTTCAAGCAGTTTGTTTTTATATTGTTTTGTTCAAGCAGTAACTATTGAAGAGTACTACAGTCTATCATGTGGTAGCTTTCTATAACTTTAGTTTTTTGGAGGTTTTTCTGGTACTTTAAAAGAAGAAAGCAACTCTTCCGTATGTTATTATTAGTGTTTATTAGATATATGTATTTGTAAGGCTGTTTGCTAATTGACTTTGAAATTTATAGAAAACCTAAATCAAATAGGCTTTAATTTTAAACTTAATTTTTTTTGTTGTTGTTGGTGATGATTTTGTTTTTTGTTTTGTTTTGTCTTATGCATCAGTGCTCTTACTTTCAATAAGTAGTTTTTTAAATTGTACTTTGTTTTCATTTATAAATATTCTATTTAACTGCTAGGACACTTAGAAAGTTTTTTTTTTAATATGCCTACTTCATGAACAACAAGAAAAAAATTGTTTAAGCGTACTATTTTTAAGGTACTATATACTAAAAAGATAAAGAGTTATAATACATAATTGACGAAAGACAGACACTGTGCTTAATTATGGTATATGCTTGAAAGGATATATAGTTGAAGGAGAGATAGTAAAAAATACAATGAGCAGCTAAAACTTAGATCTTATTTATATATACGGTTAGACATATACTTCACAAAGCATGTATATTATGACATGGAGGTGAAGATGATATTAGAGAAAATATAAATAGTTGGTGTGGGAAGCCTAGTTAAGATTAACCAGAAAATTGAAAAGATACCAGGATTAGAAGAGCTATCATTTGGTGGAGAGGAAGAAGCTATTTTAAAAATGTGAAATGTTTGAGGTTAAGATGTGATGGTATGTGGACAAGATACATCTAGAAAATTGAAAGGACCTTAAGAATGCTTGGAAAATTAATTCATTATATGTTCATTACATTATAGTAGGGCTAAAGAAGTAATTAGTACTGACACAGAGAAATAGTTACATCTCACAATTTATAAAAGTTCTTTAATGTGCTTTATAAAATAATTTAACAGACACCTTAAGTTATGAATGTGGTTCTTCTGGGATTCCTGGGAGCCAGAATCCTTATTGATTTCTCAATCCCTAACATTTAGCTCTGGTGCTAATAGGTTCTCACTAATCACTTACTGAATGATACATGGAATGCGGCACTCAAGAACAAAGGAGAATATTGGGTGGTACGATAAATTGGAAGATTGGGATTGACATATATACACTATTGATACTATGTATAAAATAGATAACTAATGAGAACCTACTGTATAGCCCAAGGAACTCTACTCAATGCTCTGTGGTGACCTAAATGAGAAGCAAATCCAAAAAAGAGGGGCCATATGTATACATATAGCCGATTCACTCTGCTGTACAGTATAAACTAACACAATATTGTGAAGCAAGTAAACTCCAATAAAAAAAAAAGCAGAATTTTAACAGAAGACAGAGACAGAATCCCATTCATAATAAATATGTAACCAAAAACTAAGGAATTGTACTACAAAGATACACACACACACAGAGTCACTAAGCCCCTGAGTATGTAAAATCTGGTTCTTAAGAGCTAATAAAACTAGGTTATTAAACCAGGCTACCTTTGTAAATACCCATAGGACAATTCGATCCCTGTGGTATTACCACGAATGCTTAGAGAAAGAAACAAATTGTATTGGCAATAGCTGCAAGGATAAGTTGGCAGACAGTCAGAGTAATTAATCAGTGACTTGATTCTCATGATAAAATTCTTTAGAATGTCTAATTAATACAATACTAATTATCTCATCTCTGAAATGGGAATAATAATACAACCTCAATGTTTTGAGGAATAAATGAGATTCAAATAAATTCTTTAACATAGAGTCAGTTTTAAGTTATGATGCATTGTTTTTGTGAAGTTTGAAGTAATTTCACTTCTTTTAGAGCTAGAGTTTTTATTTCTTTTTCCGGAAATGTTGAAGCCTTGGCTTCCCTAGCTTTTTTCTGTGTTTGTCATCAGCTTATCAGAAATGCAACTATACAATGTTTGGTGTTTCAATTGAAGTAGATGCATATTGTTATTTATGGAAAAATTTGAAAGCCAAAGTGATTAAAAAAAAGTTTTCTTGCTCTGTTCTAGCTATTTGTGTATCAAATTTGAGATAATTTTATTAGAATAATTTACAAATTGTCCTAGATACACTTACTATTGTTCTAAATTTTTACTTATTAGCTTGTTAATAAGAGATAAACATACAATAAATAGAAAAATTTTTTTATAATTCCTAAACATTTCTAAAAATATCCAACATTTCAGCTAAAGGCAAACTTCATACTTAGAAAGATTTTAGGTAATAAAAAATATATAATATTTTTTAAATACAGGAAAATATAGATAACCCCTGCTCTTACCCTCCTTTACACACTCATACAAAACCAAAACAAAAATAAAAGAAAGACATGTATGTGACCAAAAATCAGCAGTACCAACAGTACCAATTTTTTTTTTTTTAGCTATATAAAGAATCTTGGAATTTTATTTTAAAACTGTTTGCTGGCTCTATATGTCACTTACAGTGTCTACATGTTTTATTCTTTTTTTAAAAAAACTAAACATAGTTTAACAATATTCAAGGAAATTTTAAAATACAGAAAAATAATTCTATCAACCTAAAACCTATTTTTATTTGCCTATTTGTGTTTTTTTTAACATTTTATATTTATTTATTATTTATTTTGGCTGTGCTGGGTCTTAGTTGCGGCATGCAGACTCTTAGTTGCGGCAGGCATGTGGGATCTAATTCCCTGACCAGGGATCGAAGCCGGGCCCCTTTTTTTTTTTTTTGTGTCACGCGGGCCTCTCACTGTTGTGGCCTCTCCCGTTGCAGAGCACAGGCTCAGCGGCCATGGCTCACGGGCCTAGCCGCTCCGCAGCATGTGCGATCTTCCTGGACCGGGGCACGAACCCGTGTCCCCTGCATCAGCAGGCGGACTCTCAACCACTGCGCCACCAGGGAAGCCCGAACCCGGGCCCCTTGCATTGGGAGCATGGAGTCTTACCCACTGGGCCACCAGGGAAGTCCTTATTTGCCTACTTTTGGATTTTATTTTTACACATTTGTGGTTCTAGCAAACACACAACTGGCAAATAATCTCTTTTAAAGGTGGATGTCCTTTAGAAGAGGACATGTACAATTAACAATTATTTACATCGTAGTAAGAATTACATTAAGGAGCCAAGTTTGTTTGTTTTCCTCTAACAACTGGTGATAATCAGAACAATGAAAGGGAAGATTATTTAAGGAGAAGTAGAGGAGCGGTATGAGACTTTGGCACAAAGCAGCAAGTGGCCACTGGGTCTTTTGGAGTGGGATTCTGATGGGCTTGGATCATCAGAAGAGACCAAGTATGAGAAAATTCCGAAGTGGTTGGCTCCAAAGGTAAATTTTGTCAGATATATATATATATATATATATATATATATATATATATACACACACACACACACACACACACACTTTATCAATGGGATCATACCAT